TTCATTTAAACGATCAAAAAATTAGGAATATTACTGTACAGCAACGAATTTGGAATTATTTTAATTCAAGAATTGATATTTCTAATATAGAAAATTACTTTTTGTTATAAAAAAAACCTCCTTGAAATTGGCGTCGATTTTCAGCGTCGAAAACTATTTTTTGGAGTTTCTAGAGTCAAAAATGTTGCTAACTTCACTTTATTCATTCACCTTGGAAGATGCAAACAAATTTAAGGCACTTTTTTAACCTAAAACCTTACAAAAATTCTTTTTTTTTTATTTTCCCTGTACAAAAATATTTTTCAGCACTGAGTGTCGACGCTAACTTCAAGGGACCTTAAAAAATACAAATTAGAAGAAAAAATACAAATTAAATAAATTAAGAAACACTCCAAAAAGTACTTTCTTAATTTGAATCAGTTAAAAATCATGGTTTTAACGACCTGACAATCAGTGACTGATTTTTTGCTTCTAAATCAGTTAAAAACAACTGATTTTCAATAAAAAAATATTTGATTTTCAGTAAAAAAATAACTGAAAAATGAGTTAAACTTGACTAATTGAATCAGTCAAAAAAAATTTACTGAAACATTAGTTATTTTTAACTAACAATCAGTTATTTTTAACTAACAATCAGTTATTTTTAACTGACAATCCGTTAGTGTTAACTAACAATCAGTTATTTTTAACAAATTGTCAGTAGAAATATTACTATTTGAATTAGTGACTGACTGTTTGCTTCTAAATCAGTTATTTTTAACTGATTCAAATTTAGAGAGTAGTGCCAGTCTAATCTTTAGAGGTCCGGGATGGCCATGGTCCACCATTTATTTTAACGAATCTTTTTATGGAATTGACTTCTTATTTATAAATTTTTTTTTAATAAAAAACTAAAATTTACCGGCCCTCTAAAGGTTAAAACAAGAAGTAGAAAATAATAAAAAGAAAAGATTTAATCATAAAGGCCTCAATTTCAAACTTGAAAAATAAATTTCCCTGAAAAGAATTCCCAACCTTCTCGAAAGAAAACAAGCCTCATTAATTTATTAAACACTAATAATAATAATAATGTATTCATCAAAAAAGAAAGTGTTCAATATACAGAAGTTTCTTCATGGAGTTGTTATTATTAAGGACACGGGTTACATAGTTTACAATGCGTTAGTATGATGGACGCTTAGGGACGAGCAGATAAAGACAACGGGGGTTGAAGAAAGGGGTGACATAGCAGCGTGGCGACGGAGGCATGGTGATGGCGTCCGTCGAGGTCGCGTCTGCGCGAATCTCGTCACACCGCGTGACCACGATCAATACTACGTGCTGTTGTGTATGTTGGGGTAAAGGATGTTGAATTTGAAAAGTGTTATTCCGCGCGTCTATCTCTGAATGATATGGAAGGGAACGCCTCTCTCTCTCTCTCTCTCATTCTCTCTCTCTTTCACTCTCTAACTCTCTCTCTATCTCTCCACGTGGAAACCACGTGTGCGCTTTTCGCGCTCTTCAAAACATGTCGCACGCGTTTCATATGAAATTCTCAATTCCTCATTGTGTGATCATCATTTATCTGATGGTTATCACCCATAGACTCCCGAACACTTCGTGTCTCTCTATATATAATACATTTTACTTTGTCTATATACTGAAACCTATTCACGTCGAGTGTTCCTTCACGAGCCACCCCTATATAAATAGATATATATGTATATAAGTCTACGACTACGCCTACAATTTGCAAAAGCAAGTTGGTTACTGTGCAATAAAACGCCTTTACAATTTTCATAATTTTCATGTTGTTCGTTTTTCAAATCTTTGGTTGTTTTCAAAGAAAATAATCATTGGAATACGTTCAACACAATCTTCAGAGTTTCGATGCATTTCTTTTTCAATTTCGAGTATATGATGTACTGTGCAGCAGTATATTATCTATTTTATATATTTTGCAGAATATTTTATGTATTTTGCTGAATTTATGTTCATGTTTACTGTAATTTATGTTGCTGACTGTATTTTTATGTTTACTGTAACTTATGTTGTCGACTCTACTTTTAAATTTTTGTGTTGTTTTTTATGTTGCAGGCTTCATTTTTACATTTACTGTAATTTATGTTGCTGGACCAACATCTGATGTTTGTTCAGCAACAACTTATTTTAGATCAGCAACATTACGCAGAAAAAACAAAGTCTGAAACCGTTTACATCTTAAAACCAAAATGATTAAAACTTAGCTTATTTTTAAATTTAAAACTTTGGGTTTAGTCATAACTTTAGAGGACTTAAAATAATACTCTAAAGGCTAAGATCCAGTAAAAAATGTTTCTAATGTAAACGGTTTTAGTCAAAAGTGAACTGAAAGTAAGAGTTGCATTTTACAGTGTAGATCCAATTTAGAAGTTTTAATTTTAAGAGAATTTGTTTTAATAACATTTGACATCGTTTGGTAAGATTAAACTTTCTTTAGTAACATTGAACTTTCTTTAGTAACATTAAACTTTCTTTTGTAGCATTAAACTTTGTTTAGCAGCATTAAACTTTGTTTAGTAGCATTAATGTTTCTTTTGATGCATTGAACTTTTTTTGTAACATTAGACTTTTTTTGTAGCATTAAAATTTCTTTTGTAACGATAAACTTTCTTTGGTAACGATAAACCTTCTTTGGTAACGATAAACTTTCCTTGGTAACATTAAAGTTTCCTTTATATTATTAAACACTCTTTTGCAACCTGAAACTTTCTTTACCACTTGAAAAAAAATAGAAAGCAAACGTCCACAACATTTTTAAAAACGAAAACGAAAAAATGTGATGATTTTTTTTACTTTTGCTTCTAATTCATGTTATATTTTAGCAATTGTCTCCTAAGCAATAATTAATTTCCTAAAAATTAAAGCACATGAAAATCAGAGATGAATTATAACTTAAAAAAATTCGTTTTTAAAAACATTGCGAATTTTGCAGTTTTATTAAAAAGAATGTCAAATTAGAACAAAAGGGTTTTAAACTTTAAACTTTCTTTAGTGACATTAAACTTGGTTCAGGAATATTTTACTTTATTTGTAATAATATTAAAAGACTTCATAAAAAATATTAGAATTAGTTCAAGAATATATAACTTTACCTTCTTTAATATTTAAACTCTTTATCAAAAATATTAGAATTAGTTTAGGAATATTTAACTTTATACTTTCTGTAATATTTCAAGTCTATTTCAAAAATATTGAAATTTGTTATCCAAAATTAGAAATTGTTGAAATACAATTATTCATATAGAATACAATATTTTTTTAAAAGATTTTTTTGATAAAAAAAATCGTCGAGTAACAGTCGGGTAACAGTAAAGTTACAGTAAAGTTAGAATACACTAACAATAGAGTAACATTAGAATAATATTATAGAAATTTTAATATGAAAACATTAAATTAAACACAAGAGGCAAAAAATTTTACTATAACAATCGAAACATTAATACAAAACTAAATTTATTTTATAGTTGTAAAAATTCACTATTTGTTTTGATAAAAATAAACAACAACAAAATTTAAAAACAACAAACGAAACCTGTTGGTTCTATTTTGAAACTTTTTCCAAATATAATCAAATCCATACAAATGTGCATCATTATCAAAAACAATAAATGATCAAAATTGCATATTTAGATAAGAATCATGTTCGACAATAAAGATAAGTAGGAAAACAACAACATAAAACTGTAATAATGTTATTTGAATATATCAGTTGGTTGTATTTTATAATAAAAGAATAAAACTTAATAGAAAGAATAATAATAAACAATTCGGTTTAATTCTCGTAATATGACAATTAAAAAACAAAAAAAAAAAACAATAAAAAAATAGTTAAAAAAATTACAAAGCTACATTTTTATTTCTAATCTTTCTATTATGTTATATTACTCCTTTTACCCTCTAAATCTGAGTGTATTAATTAAAAATAACTAATTATTAGTAAAATCGTAACTGACATTTTGCTTCTGGAATTAGTAGAAAAAACAACTAATTAAATAAGTAATTATTAGTACAAAGTAACTACGAAAATAGTAAAATTTCACTAACTGAATGAGTTACCAAAAAATGAGTTATTTTTATTAGTTACCTAACCAAAAAGTAAATTGAACTAAAACAAATTTAACAAATAATAAATTATTAACTATCTTATTAGTAAAATAATACTTGAATCACTGACTGACTTTTTATTATCAAATTTTTAAAGAACATGAAAATTAAATTGCGTATTATAATTTTTGTTTTTTGTACAAGTGCTTTCCGTCATTGGTTATTAAAGTAGATTCATATAGTTAAATACCAAGTTCAACTGCGTATTTGATTGCACACGATCATTTTATTTCACTACTGAATTATTTGTGTATTCTTTTTTTGCATTCAATTTAACACCTCGTTGCATAATTGTATCATCATTACACAATGAGGGGCAATAATCGCTATCTTTATTAATTCCGTCAGAGTTATTATAATAATTGTCTTAATTTATTGATATCAAGAACAGAAAAATAAATTTTTACCTATTAGAATTTACAGTTAAAGAAAAGTGCTCATATGTTGATTTTTATACTGTACACAAATTATCACCGTATTTAAACATATTTTCTTTGCATATTTTAATTTGCCCCCAAAGGAAAATGTTGAACGTATTCGTGATATAAAAGAAAAATTTATAATCAGTGATTTAGTTATGCAATCGCGTATTTTTTCTTAATAGATGAAAAAATTGACGAAATTAGTGCGGAGCGTTTTTTGTGAGGGAAAATTCAGACGATTATTGCGTATAGCGACTCGTCTAGAGGAAATTTACAGGTACAGGCAAAAAACAAATGTGACGAGATACTCCGCCGATCAGTGTCTGGTGCTTTCTCTATTTATTATAAACGGCTAGTTGAGATTAGTTGTTATTATTTTCTTTTATTATTTTTTTTCTTTTTTTTTTTGAAAAGAGGGTGCAAGGTTCATTGAACCGTAATTAAGGGACTAACCTGCAAGTCTTAAGGCAGACATTCTCTGGAATTCGGGCTCCTGGAGCCACTTCCACATCCGTCGAAAGGTCTCCCGGCCACTCTTGAGTTTGGACCAGGGTTTAGGGTTGCGCAGAAGGTCACTGAGGGTGCCCTGGCTGCGACACAAGACCCTCTGGGCGAATATCGCCTGAGGTATGCTATACCTCTTGAGTTCGGCACTTATCCGCTGGGCGAGCTCCTTGGTGTTGATCTCCTCGACTTCTCCGGCCCCGTTGCCCGCCGTTGACACCGTCTTCATGACGACCGACGTGTGTTGCACATGTTGCGTGTGTGATATCGCCTGCTGCTGAATCGTCTGCTGTTGTTGTTGCTGCTGCTGTTGCTGCTGCTGAAGCTGCGTCTGCATAGGAGGTGGTGAGGCAGCCGGCACCGAGAGTGCGGTCGGGGAATGGTGAGATGGCGCGAAACTGGGTGCCACCGAGACCGGAGGCGACGGCGGACTCAGTGCGGCGGGACTCTGCTGCAACCTGGGTAAAAAAGCTGGCTCATAGTGCGGACTCGCCGATTTGTGAGGTGAATTCAGAGCACTCTGACTGTAAGCACTCTGCGGCGAGAGAGGACTCGGCTGAAGACCTCCGCCAGGCGAAGGGTAATTGTGCGGAGGCGACATTCCCATCGAAGGCAGTTTGTCGTACGCGTAAGGCGAGCCTCCCATGCCTCCGAGGCCGATGTTCCCGAGGCCGTTGTTTTGCATGACGGCAAAACTGCCAGTAACACCACTGCCGCCGTGCCCTCCATAGGCGAACTTGTCGCTCATCGTCGAGATTGGCGGCAGCGGCTGAAGCGGCGTCAAGGTGGCGTACGAAGATCCAGGACTGAAACCAGGCGGCGACATTCTCTCCGCCACTGAGGTCAGGGTTTGATACGTTGGCTCCGGCTGCATCGCCCTAAAATCCGTCGCGTCGATCATACTCGCGACGGAAACACTAATGCCAGAGGTCGGCGAAAGTTTGCCAGGACTGAGGAGTTCCGACTCGGCGTCCCGCGAGTCGACGTCGACGTCCTGCGGGGGTACGATGACCGAGAGGGACTCCCTCGCGTTCGGCCGACCCGCCGGCGGTTCTTGGGACGAAGACAGATCCTCCGCGGCGGCGAGGTCTCGCTCCTCCTTGACGGAGCCGAGCGCACCAGCCGCGAACAATTCCAGCGGGATTCTCGCGCACGCGATGTCGGGACTTTGTGAAGCCGACGAGCCGGACATAACCTCGCCCCCACCACTGCTACCACCCTCGTGGTGCCTAACAACCCCACCTCTTCCACGTTCACCATCACCACCACTGATACCACCACCACCACCACCCCCTCTTCCTCCTCCAACGCCACCACTACAAGTAGCAGCACCACCGACACAGTTCCCATTCGCACCACCACCCCCCCTGTGAATGCGGCCCTGCGTAGAAATCGCCGTTGGAGAATCGACCGAGTCCAGTAATTGCTCGCTATGCGATTGATGATCGGCTATGTCCTCTATACCTTCCATTTACGCACATCTAGTTCGGGTGGCGCACTCGCGAGGCGTGCAAGACACTCACCTCCAACTATAGACACTCGCGACACCACCGGCGTGCACAACACAATCCCCTCACTCACTCACTCGACCTTCGATTTCCAATCAGCTCAGCTGATAGCTATCGTGTCCGGCACCGGCAACTGCTGCCAACACGTGATAAACTCCTCCACTATAACTCCACTTACAACTATCGTAACAATAACAAATTTCACCTTGAATGTCGCTCTCGTTTAATGCGTTCAGACACTTTTTCCCCGGGATCGGCATAGATCTCCGGTTCCACAGAGGCTGATGCTTTCTCGTTGTCATCCACCGTGCGCCCATGACATACGCGGAGCGAGTGAGCGCACACTCTGCACCCGAGTGAGTGCGAAGCCCAGGAGAGGAGAGAGGGGTGCCGCTCTGTAGCGGCAGGCTACTCCGTGCCCACCGGTGCCCGAGACAGCCCTACGCTCGTGTGCCCCCGTACCCCTCTTATTTCTTCTTTCTCCCTTCTTCACCCCTCCTAAAAACTTCCAACACCCTGATTCTCGTCAACGCGAAAAACACAAAATTCGGTCCAGGTGTAAACTCGATTCTTTAAAATATAAACTCCCCTCCTGTCCTCACCGGTCACACACGGACCATTAATATTTATCTACCTACCCCAGCAACACTTTTCAGTCTCTATTTTTGACCACCCACCATTTTTGCCAAAATTACACTCTTTATTTACAATTTTTTTATCTCTTCATCTCTTTTTTTCCGCCTCACGTCATCACTAATCTTCGTCTCTCTCTCTCTCTTTCTCTCTTCTTCTCTCTCTCCGCCGCAGATTCTCGGTCTCTTTCTTCCACCCTCCCACTCTCTCCCTCTCACAAGCTTACCCGGCAATGCACGTGAAGCGCGACGATCGTGAAAAGCTCCGATCTTGATTATCGATAATCGACCGCCAATCGAGAACAGCGACTAAATTCGAACCAAAAAAAAATTCGATAAAAAACGAGAAATAACCGAAAAGAAAAACTATTTATTTATTTAATATATTATTATAGGAGAGGGAAATTTTCGCAACACCCAAATTTTGATCCAGCGGACCGTTTCGTTCTCACATCCGAGCAAAAGTGACAACGCGCGATTCACCCCCACCATTGAGGCAAAAGCACCGCCGCCACCATCTCACCAACCACCACCACTACTACTTCTTCTGCTACTACTACATTGGCAATCCACCACTACTTGCACCGCATTTGCTGGCGTCAGTCAGGTTTCTATCGATTTTCCGATACCTCGTGACCACCGTTGCTCGATGCGCCGATACTTCGAGCACAAACATCGACTCACGAACACCCACTATAACGACCGACCCCCCTTTGATTCCGATATCCTAGATTGACAATCACATTTACTGATTTTTCTATAGAATTTCTTGGCCCTTTTTGCCCCCGATTTTTCTCTATTTCTTAGAGGAGAAAGGGATGAATATTTATACAACCTAAATGTTTCCTAGAAAAACTAACGACCAGCCGTAAAAATTTATTTTTAATTTTTTAAGGCAAAAAATTATCTACTATTCAACGGATAATAATTTGTTGTGTATACTATTTATCACCCTAAAGAAGTCAAAATCAATATGCGATTCAATGGAAAAAATTTCATCGACGTCAACATCGACTTAAAAGGGCATTTCAAAGTCATGGCAGTTTCATTTAAAAATCATAACCTTCACATGCCCTTCGAGCAAAATACAAAGTAGAATAGTTTTTTTTCGTAATTATTTAATTTCTAACAGGAAAAATATAATTATTACTAAACCTCGAAGCCTTTTGAGGGGGGAGGGGTTTCAAGCTAAGATTAAAAAAGTGAGGGGGGGGGGTAAATTTCCACTAAAAAAAGGGGGGTCGTAGTTTCTAACTAAAATGACTAAAAATAACGTTAAAATTTTCATGGGTGGGGGGTTACATAAAAAAGGGGCTAGGTAGTTAATAAACAACCTCTAAATAATTATTAAATAGTTACTAATAAAATATTAAAATTTGCCCAAAAACAATAGGGGTTATGTAGTTTATGAACGATCCCTTGGTAATTGTTGTTAAAAATGATAATTGCCCATTTTTCGAAAAGAATGAGAAAAAGGTAGAAGCGGAACAAGCCAAAAATGCATTGCGTTAGAGAGAAACAACCATATGTCACAGGAAACTATACCATATGGTGTATAAACATTGTCAAAGCGTCGATAAAGAAATCAATATAGGTACAATTCCGTGCGGTATATTTATAATGGCGGCTATTCGGAACGTTTGGGAAGATGAGAGTCGCGCGCAGATTATCTAGACCTTCCATATATATATATATATATATATATATATATATATATATATATATATATATACTGTGTATTTATATGTAGCGTATATGAAGACATATAAATACAAAGCAAAAACAAAATATTTTGAATATACAATATTCTGCGTATTCATCAAGGTTCGACACTGACACAATTTTTTGTTTTCGTGTCGTTTCGACACAATTGATCCATGACTGAAAAAAAAATTTATTTGATTTGAATAATCGATTACTAGACTATTATCAATTAAATATTTAATTGAATCAAGTAATTTTTATTTAAATCCAGTAAATTTTATTTGAGTCAATTAAATGGTATATTTGAACCAATAATTTCAGTATTTGTATAGCAAATATTAATTGAACCATTTAATTGACTCAAGTAAGTTAAATGATTTGAAGAACTTTATTTTTAAATAAATATTTAATCAATTCTTCAATTTTTTTAAAAATAGTTTTGAAAAACTTCTTTGAGAATTTTCAAATATCTTTTGTTTACAAGGGGCCGTTCAAAAAATACGTAACGCTATTTTTCGGAAATTTGGACCCCCCTCCCCCGTGTAACGCAACGTTGTATACATTAGCGCCATTTTTTCTGCTGACCGTAACAAATAGCTTGACCCCCCCCCTCCCCCATAAAGCGTTACGTACTTTTTGAACGGCCCCCAATTTATTTTTACGGAATTTCGATTATTCTGATATTCTTCAATTGAATATATTAAAAATTAAAAACTCCAGATAATTAAAGAAAATTCAATTAAAGTTTTTAAAAAAAATTAATTTTGCAGCTCTCTTAATTAAAAGTATAAAAAGTTCAAATTTTCAAAGATTTTAATTCAAAACATTGAATTTTCATAAAGAATTTTACCAACAAATATTTAAATAATCGAATTCTCTTGACAAAATTTTAATAAACTTTTTAAGAATAATTTCATTTTTCGAGAAATTTGATGAAAATTGTATTAAAAATAATTGAAATTCTGCCAAGAATTTTATTAAAATTTTTGAAAGTAATTGAATTTCGGAGAAAAATTTTATTATTTAAAAATAATTGAAAATTTGACAAGCATTTTATTAGAATTTTTGAAAATAATTGAATTTTGGAGAAAAATTTTATTATTCATAAAGATAATTAAAATTTTGACTAGAATTTTTATAAATTTTTGAAAATAATTAAATTTCAGAGAAGAATTTTATTATTTATAATGAATTTAAAAAAATGTTTGAAAATAATTGAATTTCGGGGAAAATTTTATTATTTATAAAGATAATTGAAATTTTTACGAGAATTTTATAAAAAATTTTTTTAAATAATTGAATTTTGAAGAAAAATTTTATTTTTTATAAATATAATTGAAATTTTGCTGAGAATTTTTGGAAATTTTTAAAAATAATTAAATTTCAAAGAATTTTATTATTTATAAAGATAATTGAAATTTAGACAAGAACTTTTTTAAATTTTTGAACATAATTGAGGAAAATTTTTGAATATAATTGAAATTTTGCCAAGAATTTTATTAAAATTTTTGAAAATAATTTTATCATTTATAAAAATAATTGAAATTTTGACAAGATTTTAAAAAAATTTTTGAAAATAATTAAATTTTAGAGAAGAATTTTATTATTTATAAAGATAATTGAAAACTTGACGAGCATTTTATTAAATTTTTGAAAATAATTGAAATTTTGCCAAGGATTATATTAAAATTTTTGAAAATAATTGAATTTAGGAGAAAAATTTTATTATTTATAAAGATAATTGAAATTTTGACGAGAATTTTTGTAAATTTCTAAACATAATTGAATTTTTGCGAAGAATTATATTATTTTGAAAATAATTAAATTCTTGAGATGAATTTTATCAACATTTTTTTTCTGAAATAATTGAATTTTTTTGTGAAATTTTATTCAAATAGTAGACACTGATGAAAGTAATTAAATTTTCAGAAATTTTTGAAATTATTTAAATTTCTACGAAGAATTTTGTTTAAATTATTTTGAAAGAAATTGAATTGTTACAAAGAATTTAATCAAAATTTTAAAAAATAATTTAATTCTACGCAGAAATTTAATTGAAAATGTATTGAAAATATAGGAATTAAGGTTTTTAAAATAATTGAAATTTTTTGATAAATTTTAATAAAATTTTTAAGAATAATTACACTTTTCGAGAAATTCTATTAAAATTGTATTAAAAATAATTAAAAGTCAGCGATGAGTTTTATTAATTTATGAAAATAATTGAATCCCTGTAAGAAAATGTTATTATTTATGAAAATAATTAAACGTCTGCGTTAAAATTTTTTTTAACAAATTCAATTCTTTTAGGAATTTTTATTAAAGTAGTAGATATTAAAAATCACTGAATTGAGGATAGTTTTTGAAAATAATAAAAACTTTTCCAAGAATTTTATTAAAATTTTTAAAAATAATTGAATTTTAGTTATTAAAATATTTTTAAAATTTAGTTTCAAAAATCAGGGTTGCGTGGCAACCCTGATTAAAGAAATTAATAATAATAATACTAATAAATAATAATAATTAATTAAATAAATTCGATTCAAGTGAATATTGAATTGATAATAGTCAAGTAATCGATTACTTGAATCAAATAAATTTTTTCTTCAGTGTAGCCGTTATATAAATACA